TTGTTAGGATTGGAATGTTTTTTTTTAAATTAGAGCTTAGAGCTAGAAATGATGCAAGCCTCACCTTTTAATTTTTTTACACACCTAATCCTACAATCTGCACTCGTGTAAACACTGTTACCTTTGGGCAGTTCTCTTATAGGAGCCAGGTTTGTTCCTTCCTGCCTCGCCCCACAAAGGACTGCTTGTTGTGACATTTGAGACACTTATTTGGCACATAGCTGASAGAGTTATGACAGTGTGATAAAGCTGTCGACTAAATGCTGCTGTTTACAGGAAAAAAGCTCACAAAAAATGTTCAAAGCTGCACACAAGTCCTGTCACTCATGAACGTCATTCTGCCATGAACATGTAGTCACTAAGCCTTTCAAGGAACATGCCCTGTCCATCTAATCAGACATGTCTTTATTTAGTTAGTTTTTTTCCTCATTGCAATTTATATTTTCTTATTTTGAAATTAGAATTTGTCATGAATAATATCTTTGCATGGCATTTTCTTTGAAACGGGAAAAATCTGGTATCAAAAGGAGCTCATGAGGCCTCTCAGGGCAAATGGACCTCGTGTTTACACACTTGTCCATCATCTGGGCCGTGTGCGGCCTCCAATTTCCAGAGAGATGGTGAGATGTCCCCAGAACTCTGCGGCACCGTGTCTGAAGCTGGTAAGTGCAGTGTGTTTGGATGAGGTTAGTTCAGATCTGAGATAACGCCTCTGCTTTTTTTTTTCCTTTGAATGCTGAGTCTAAGTCAATTCAGGTTTGAAGCTGCAGCGCTAAAACAGAAAGACAATTCTTGTGCTTCGAGCTTCAGAAACATGATGCTGCTCTGCTTTTGTTTAAAGTATAGATTTTTTTAAAACTGAGAAAAAACAAGTCAAATTATTTCAAAATGCTAAACAAAAGAAACAAAGAGCTTTGTGAGGAAGGATGTGCTCAAACTGGGAAATATTGTTTTGCTTCTTCTGTCTCATAAAAATGACATTTTATGACCTCAAATGTTTGCATCTTTGTTTTGTTTGAAAATACACAATTTAGCTGTAACACTCACAAACATTTTCTATTACTCGGTCATATTTAGTACTTTCTGTCAATAATGTTTTGATCATTTCTTATTAGTTTAAAAACACAGATTAGACATCTTGTCTTCTCTAGTGTCCATATTCTGATTTTTGAGCATATTTTTTTTTTACCTATAGGGTCCTGTCATTGGGGTTTTATGTTTTATCATTTTATTTGACATATTTTCTTGTTTTATTTGTTTAACAGTTGTGAATAATATGAGTTTGACATTTGTACTGTGAAATGAAAAACAGCTACTAATTTGTAGTGTTATATTTTTACATGTTTTAAAACGTTTTGCTTAATAAATCAATGAACCAATAAATCAATCCAGCTGTGGGAAATTGAACACCAATAAAAACGCAAACTTTAGGCCGTTTGTCAATTTTGGATATGACCCAATTGAGGTCTCTCCAGTTGTTTTAACGAAGTACTGCAGTAATTAAAATATTTAAATATAAATAGAATCTATAGAAATGTTTTTGCACAGTTTGAGAGCTAATTTTGTGTGGCGGAAAAAAGCGCGCAGTTGTGCGTCCTTCAACATTAAATAAAACATAACATATAACTGCTTCTGACAAAACGCGAGCTATTAAAGCTGCAGACTTGAGGGAAAAGTCAATAATAATAATAATAATAAAGCATCTCGGATTTGATCGACAGAGCAAACAGGGCATGAAGAAGTATTAAACAAAAGTTCCAGGTTTACCCGCGCCGTGCTGTCAGCTTGTTGGACGCTCCTGTCTGATCAGCTCCATAATGACATGAAACAGGAATTAAAGGGTTAATTAGGAGGACAGAAACCGCGGGTGACTGAAGTTTTGGCGGATTATTTCAGACTGTTGGAATCACACACACACACACACACACACACACACACACACACACACAC